TGAAGGAGCAATGAAGAGAGATGAAAAACACTGATGCACGGTCTGTATCCAAGGAAGGTCAGAGGATTAAGCTTTGCTGTCACCAGTTACACTAACCTCACAACTCCGCACAGTGGAGCTGAGGGCTAATCTGTTACATAAAACTAATCCGAGAGATAACACCAAGAGGTTCTGTTATGACCATTCAGGCAACAGGATTAGTGTCCCAGAGAACTATTAATGACTTTGCACTCTTTTGTTTAACTGCCTCTATCTGCCAAATAGCTATTAGAAAATGTCAAGTGGACATAAATAGACAAACCCCACATGATCCAAACTTATATAAATAAGCAAACTGATTAAAGACTGGAACAGGGCATGAGGACACAGTGATTACTGAACATGACACAGTTTCACTGAAGAAAAAAAAAAAAAAGTAAAATTTGCATAATTTTTCTTTTGCAAGTTTTTGCACTAATATTTTGTTAAGTATATTTTAAATATGGAATTAAGTAACTACTTAACTAAGTTACAAAATTAGCAAAGGGAATAAGTAAATTTAAGTGTTCAGAGTTTGATGAGTAATCATCAAATGATGAGTAACTTAATAATTTTAAGTTTACTCTGCAATACTCAAGTACATTTCAGTCACGGTTTGTAAACTTTACTCAAACAATAAAAGACTGAAAAAAGCCATGCTATTGAAGCATGTAAGTAAGCAAGTAGACAGCTTGTTATCCTTTTCAAGATAATACGTCTACTCAATATAGATATTACCCAAATGAACACAGAGACCTCAATACTTGGCTATTAATGACTTTGCACTCTTTTGTTTAACTGCCTCTATCTGCCAAATAGCTATTAGAAAATGTCAAGTGGACATAAATAGACAAACCCCACATGATCCAAACTTATATAAATAAGCAAACTGATTAAAGACTGGAACAGGGCATGAGGACACAGTGATTACTGAACATGACACAGTTTCACTGAAGAAAAAAAAAAAAAAAGTAAAATTTGCATAATTTTTCTTTTGCAAGTTTTTGCACTAATATTTTGTTAAGTATATTTTAAATATGGAATTAAGTAACTACTTAACTAAGTTACAAAATTAGCAAAGGGAATAAGTAAATTTAAGTGTTCAGAGTTTGATGAGTAATCATCAAATGATGAGTAACTTAATAATTTTAAGTTTACTCTGCAATACTCAAGTACATTTCAGTCACGGTTTGTAAACTTTACTCAAACAATAAAAGACTGAAAAAAGCCATGCTATTGAAGCATGTAAGTAAGCAAGTAGACAGCTTGTTATCCTTTTCAAGATAATACGTCTACTCAATATAGATATTACCCAAATGAACACAGAGACCTCAATACTTGGTACACAATACACAATGACGGTAACAATCAGTGGATAGTGTTTGAGGATGAATGGGTCATTGAGTAGAAAATGAACTCCAGATGTCACAAAACAGCAAATTACTAAACCTAGCAACAACAGCGACCATAAAACAGTGTAAATGGGCCATTCTGCAGAATTGGTGCAAAGTCAGAGTAAGAAACGTCTTGGACATTTTTTTTGTGTTTTTCCACAAATTTTGTATGCATGCAAATTGTATAATATCCAAGGTACACATTTCTAGTAATTGTGCAGTTAATTCTCGTATTGTATTTTCAGAAAGTTTTGGAATATGTTTCCTCTCCCCAAATTTGTCACTACCGAAACACAATAATATATAATTGAATAAGAAGGGTTATATTGACCTATTAAGATTTTGTTTACATCTACCTTGTAAATGTATTTTTTGCTATTTTACTAAAAAGTTTTTAGAGGTAAATCAATAACAATTGCAATTTTAACAATATTTCAAGAGTGATTTATGTGAGTTGTTGTATTTTGAATCCAATCTTTCTTTGTAAAAGGCATCAAGTTGATCACACAGATTTTAAAGGATTCATTCGTTTCGATGTGCATAGAACCAAACATTTTCATAACATCTTAGTTGATAATTCAGTATACTTTATTTTTGACAAAACATCCCATGTTTCGGTCATGACAGCACATTTTCGGTAGTGACAGTAATGTTTTGGTAGCTACCACATCACAAAACATACTAAAATTGTATGTAAAATTGTATAAAATTGTACTAAACTGTACTAAAATTTTGTTTATTTCCCCCAAATAATGGATTATGTGTTTCCTTTTGTCACTACCAAAGCAATGATGATATGTTTCGGTTGTGACTGTTTCGGTAGTGACAATTTTAAGGAATAACACCCAAAAAACAATGATGAGACAACCAAAACTTCACCAAATGTTTCGGTAGTGACAATTTTAGATTTTTGAGCCTACCTCAAATATGCAAATCAGCACATGGTTAGCTAGCACAGTTCTGAACAGTTGTACACATATACAAAAGTGTTATGGAATAACACCCAAAAAAGTGTGCTTAATTGCAGAAAAAAGGTGTTCGGTAGTGACGTTCCTTAAAGTTACACACAGATTTTCAGACTTTCGGACCTATCTACTCACACCTTGTAGCTTTGAGAGATAGGAATATTTCCTGATAATAAATTTAGGGGTGTAGTTAAAATCAGACTCAGTTACTTAACTTTTCTTTAAAAAAAAATCAAAAAGATATTTTTATGCATTTAATGGAATAAAATGCAAAAGAAATGATAATTTAAAAAAAATTTCAATATTGTTTCCATAAGATGAAATTTAGAGTTTAGGGTTCGGGACAGCCACCTCCCAATTGAAAGTACCCAATAAATGATGATTCTATATATATTAAGATTATTGATATTTTAAATATTATTGTGGGTTTCAATAGATAATTGAAGGATCTTAGTAAACATCTAAGATTTGAAGTCTTAAATGCTTTTGTTTGTTCATTGTGTTCATTCAAATGTTGAAAATTGTTCAACATTTTTATTTCTACAAGCTTAAATATAGTATTAATATAGAATGTACTCTTTTTTTAAATTATTGCCTAAACAAAATTATTTAATGTAGAAATTACATTTGTTTTTCTGCAGTATTTACTACACCACAAAATCATTTTTATCAGTGCTGCTTAATAAGGTAGAAATTACTTTTTTGTAAAATAACTTTAGAAATAAAATAATAAATAAGTGAATAAATAAACAAATAGCACTAAAAATTACGGTAGAACCAACAGTGAGTGCTAAAAACGAAAAGCTTTGTTTAGGAAAAAATGCTAAAACATTTAAAGCCTCATATTATAATACTTTGTATATTATTTGCATAATATTTTTTTTTCATTATAAACCGATTATGATTATGACATTTCAGTCTCTCTAAAGATGTCATTAGCAGGAATTTCCAAGGATATGGTGTTTGTTTTAAAAAAAGAAAAATGCAGATGCACGCAGAAAATCTTTAACCACATTCCTTTTTCTAGAAAGCACTTCCCTTTCCCCTAAGTTTAACAACTGCAAACTACTACAATGCAACAGGTTATATAACTCGTTTAAGAGGGGATTCCAAAAGTCCTTATGTTAAAGTAATGCAATGCTTCTAAAGTCCACTAAAGCAAGTAGTAGTTCTAAAGTATAAAATAATTATGTAAAGTATAATACTCACACGTATAATACCAATGTCTTGCTGTATATTTAATTTTTTCCTTTTTATTTTATTTTTCTTGTGAAATTGCCCTGCCAAAACATCTATTTGAAGATTGATTTGATATTAGCGGCCTCTACTGGTACTGTCAAGAAAAAAAAATAGATAAATAGAAAGCCAAGGCAAACTTTACCTGGGAGATGAGAATTGACGCAATTCCTGTCAGCTGGTTATCACGGATGAAGTTGAATTCTGCATCCAATTCATCGGCCTACATAAGTACTGTACATGTGGTAAGAGAGTACAGTAGTACATTAACTTCTGAGAAGCGTTTATTAAACCGTTTTATAGGCTAACAGGTTTTTGCTGCTTTTAAGCGTTTTCTGTGCCATGGCACCAAATAGAATTGTAAAAAAAAAAAAAAGACGGTTTCCAAACAGGGTTTAGGTTCATATTAATGCATCATAAATAACTTACATTCATAACGTTACCCCTCATACTTTTTTCAACCATAAAGGTGCGGTCACATTTAGCCAATCGTTACCTTGCTTAGTGACATTTCGCGGGCGAAATCCAATCCTCTCTCGAATGGGGTTTTCGGTTGCAGTTAATTTATTTTACTCATTAAATGAAAACCACAATTCTAAAAATAAATAAAAAGAGAGAGACCAATTAATTTGCTTAATTGCATTTATTAATTTGTACGTTTTTCTTTCTATCCCAGCTCTATTGTTGTGACTTTATCATGCGCTTATGAATGACACTATAAAAGTGTATTATCTGTATTACTAAATTGGCATAGCTTTAGTTACCTCATTGTTTCCTTACAGAAACTCAAACAAGTAGTTCAGATGACTAGAAATGTTTATGCTTATAGATCTACTATTTCCTTTTTTTTTACTTTTGACAGTTTAGTTATTGTGCAATCCTAAACTTTCCCATCCTCCTGTGTATTAATATCTACCAACACTAGAGGGAGCAACTCAGCAAGATTTCATAGCATCATTCATGTCTTCCTTATTTTCCCATACTATTTCCTTTCATTCAGTTAAACCTCTTTTCACATTCATGTACAGTACATCTCCTTTTGCTTACCTCCAAAGTGTATTTTTGTCCTTCCGTCATTTGCATTTCCTTTCATCTGCTTTCCGTCTTCCATCCCTCCCATTTTTGATGTCATCTTGGTCCATTTCCCATCAGTCTCCTCGTGTCATATGTCTCACTCCAGTGAATATCTCTGGCTCCACAGCATCCCAGATTCTCTTGCCTCCATCTCTCTGATTTCCCCATCTCTCCTTTCCAGGCTCATTCCTCTTGTCACCTGCAGTGGGAGGTGCGGCCAACGGGAGCTGGGCTCTGATTGGCCGAGGAGGGAGGAGGCTTCTGTGACATCGTGATGCTGTGCAGATGCTCAGTAGCAGTGGTAATCGAGAAAGACAGGCTGGCGGTATCCTCTCTCTCTCTCTCTCTCTTTCTCTCTCTCTCTCTCTCTCTCTCTCCCTCCCCCCTCTTTTTCATCTTTCCTTTCCCTTCACGCACAAGCACGCATACACACACGCGCACTCTGTCACACTGCAGCAGAAGGGAGAGGACACACTGTGAAGGCCTCTCCTCTTCCTCCTCATCCCTCCCGTGAAAGGCAACCTGTCTCTCTCTCCTCCGCTATCCTCTGCTTTCCTTCAAGGACTACCGCACCCAGGAATCACCTGGAAAAGGACCTACCGCGGCACGAAAGAATCTACGGATCACTCACACACCTACATCCTCTTTTCTTCCCTCTGCATTTCTTGTTGTCAGGCAGTGTTGGCTGAGCGTCAGGACGTGTGCTTGAGCATGTGTGCGTATGACAAGGTGCTTTTCTCCAGCTGACTGAACTGTGGTTTATTCATCCCATTTTTTCCTCCCTTTTCCCCGTGGCATCCTCGTCGCTCGCCACTCGTCTTCCTCCTGACAAAGCGAACCGTATCCCAGGATGCCGTGCGGCAGGCTACTCTGCTAGGCCGCAGCAGCATGGGCAAAGCACCGGGTGGGTGGGACAGCACGGATTGGACGGCTCTGCTCCGGACGGGCGCGCTTACGCACTCCGCCGCTTCCGATGGGTGAGGACAGCGAGAGCCCCAAAATCAATCACAGCTTCCTCCGAGACTATGTCACAGAAGGTATGTGCACACACCTGCATGATCCTCCCTCATCACATAGAAGAAGAAGCACATCCCCTTCCCATTGCACACACACACACACACACATACTCAACCGTAATTTGATCCTGTTCACCTCTCTGAAGTCCTGAATATATCCTTGATCTCAGCAGCTGTGCTGTAAAGTCTTTTAATTCAGCTGACTCATCAGACTTTGGTCACCTGGTCCCACCACACACCTGTTATTGGGTTACAGCATGCATTAGTGAGACTGTTTTCATTCAATTATTGGGCACTGTAAGCCTGCCAGAATAAAGCATGAGCAAACATGCATGGGAATAAAATCATGTAGCATGTAGTATGTATTTTGAATTTTTCATCCAAGCAATTGCATATTATTCCTAAAATTGTCTAGCAGTCGTTTGTGTCTTTTGCAGGCCTTGCCGTAATCACGTTAGAGAGCAGAATGCTTCATCAGGAGCAAGCCAGGTTGTTTTATTTAGTGGCATCGTCATTGTACTAGCAGAAGCAGGAGCATGACATGCTGTTTATCAACTATTAGGCTGTACAATGTGAAGCCATATGCCCAGACGAAGCTCTTGAGTAAAAGTGTTTGCGTAGACAAAACCACAGTTGTGCTGTGCTAGCACATGCCCATGAACTTCTATTACTTTAGGTAATTTGTACCGTAAAATATTTTTTGGCTGGGACCTGCCACCTGCAGTTGTTCACAACCCTAAAATCTGTACATTTTCTATAATAGAAAGCAAAATTGTAGAAAAACAATTACAAATATTTTTAAAATTATTTTTCAAAGATAATAAGAATAGTAATAATAATGCATATATAGTACAAATATTGAATAATAATAACAAAAATAATTATATATATACATTATTGTTTTATTATTATTAATAATAATGTATTGTGTACATAATATATACCGTATAATGTATATATGATATGATTCATTTATTATTATTTTTTTCTGCTGATAATTTTAATGCTATCTTCTGTATTTCTTTGTAGCTGATGTCATTTCTACAGTGGAGTTTAACCAGACGGGGGATCTGCTGGCCACAGGGGATAAGGGGGGGCGAGTGGTCATCTTCCAGAGAGAGACAGAGGTAGGTCAGACTGTGAGCAAAGCACTGTAGTGGGGGATTGATGATTGGGGAATAAAGCAGTGGTTTTTTAAGCATTGGAGTGAATTAGATGGTGAACAGTTTGACTCTGGGGGAGGTAAATAGCAAAGGTCATAATGGTTAAAAAATGCTGTGCTGCCAAAAATATTACATACACCTTTAACATGCATTTTGTAGCTCTGTAGCATAGGGCGCTGAATATGTATGAGTTGATTTTAATTTCCATTGCCCAAAGAGCCTTATGACAGAATTTAAATAGATCAGGTTTAAAATACTTCTTAAAGACATAGTATCAGATATTGACTTTGATATAGAGCAGTCTAGTTCACAGATCACTGTAAGGTCTTGTCAGAGCATTGAATCAGTGCCTTTTCAATGTATTAACCCATATTTTAACCTAGATACTGAACAAAACACACAGTTTTTTTTAAATAACTCACACTGAAACCTACTTAAAGGTCAGACAGTAAAGAGATCCACTGTTTATTTGCTCTTTTAAATTTAAAACAAGCAATACTAGCAATAATAAGTCTAAATTGACTACCAATAACAGATTTGTGACCCTGGAGCACAAAAGCAGTCATAAGTAGCACGGGTATATTTGTAGCAATAGCCAACAACAATACATTGTATGGGTAAAAATTATCCATTTTTCTTTTATGCCAAAAATCATTAGGATATTAAGTAAAGATCATGTTCAATGAAGATACTTTGTAAATTTCCTACTGTAAATATATCAAAACTTCATTTTTGATTAGTAATATGCATTGCTAAGAACTTCATTTGGACAACTTTAAAGGCAATTTTCTCAATATTTTGATTTTTTTTTTTGCACCCTCAGATTCCAGATTTTCAAATAGTTGTATCTCAGCCAAATAGTGTCCTATCCTAACAAACCATACATCAATGGAAAGCTTATTTATTCAGGTTTTGTGGTCCAGGGTCACATTTAAACTTTAAAAGGGAATGCCATTATTGTCATGTATGCTGCATAAACCAAACTGTTTGTTAGAATGTTAGAAGCCATTTTTATGAAAGTAAAATTATAATTCAGAAATACTCTTAAGCATGAAATTTTACTATTATATATGTGCATAAGCATGTATACATTGTATTTGGGTCTTCTTTCTTACTGCAGTCTAAAGATGAATCTGAGGAGCTGGGAGAATCGGGTGAGTATAATGTCTACAGTACGTTCCAGAGTCACGAACCGGACTTCGACTATCTGAAAAGTTTGGAGATTGAGGAGAAGATCAATAAGATCCGCTGGCTGCCACAGCAAAACGCTGCCCACTTTCTCCTCTCTACCAACGGTAATCACACCACTTCCTGTCCATCAGGAGTTAATCTAGCCTCATATTTGTCCATGTAATCCTCCTAATTAGAAAAGAACCCAATCATTATAAGATATAATTTAAGGCCTAATATTAAAAGGCACTGTGATTATTCTGTATCAGATATCAGACTGAAATAGTTGGGTTGAATTACATTGCACGTTTCTATCATCTGTACAAGTACCTTTGAATCATAAGACATTATTAAAAGTATCATAAGCATGAACAATGCCTTTCAAGGCCACTTGCATTAGAAAATGGCAAATAAATATGTATTGATGTTTTGGTATAGAAAGTCTCTGTTATAAAAATGAATGGCTGATCATTTCTCAGGTATGTTCCAACAGATAAAACGATAAAGCTATGGAAGGTGAGCGAGAGAGACAAGCGGCCAGAGGGCTACAATCTGAAGGACGAAGAAGGGCGAATAAAGGACATCTCCACCGTGACCTCATTACGGGTATTTTCACAGCTGACATATTCAATCCGGTGCAGAAGGATGAACTGGTTTGATTTAGCATTTGTTTTAGTCACTGATTTTTGTCACGCTCTATAATAACTTATTATACACAGCTCTCAGGAATCCATTTCTAATTGCTCAATCAATGCATTCTTTGATTAAACATTTTTTGTATAATGACCACTAAATTTATAATTGACAACTGACATAATCAATCTGCGTACAGTATCTGTTTCCTATGTACAGTATCTGTGCTAGTTTCTCATATTACTCTGTGGTCTTTTTCTTCTCGCATGATGATAATAATAACTCAAATCAATATTTGAAGTCCAGTTTTTTATTTATTTGGTAAGTAGTCATGTAAGAAGCTGGATAATTTACAGTCAGCCGGTCATTATCGTAAAATTGAATTCCTTTAGGGTGACATGAGATGTGACCGGGTCTTGATCTCCCTTTGATAATGACCATCTGACTGTACATTAACACATAATGAATGACATTTAGCATTACATTACATTATGCAACCTAAAAAAATCACTAGTTTTTATACATTCAAACAGATAGAAATTAAATGAATGAATGAAATTAATATATACAATTCTACAATATAATGTTTGTTAAAGATTTATTAGTTGCTATGTTATGTAGGCTATATAGTGTTACCCTTATATTGAGTAAATAATCTATAATAAAAGAAGACTTCTGACACTAAATCCATTTCTTTCAAGGTGCCGGTCCTGAAGCCCACTGACCTGATGGTTGAGGTACGACCGAGGAGAATCTTTGCCAACGGCCACACCTACCACGTCAACTCCATCTCAGTCAATAGCGATGGCGAGACATATCTGTCTGCTGATGATCTCAGGATCAACATGTGGCACCTGGATATCACCGATCGAAGCTTCAGTATCCTTCATGTCAATCCTCCTGTCTATTCACTCACAGAAAAAAGAAAAGATAAAACAAAATGCAGCCAGTCATTATGACACTTTAAACTGGCTTATATATAAAACCAAAACGTTGCATCAGTTGAGTGAATACTGTATAAAAATTGTTCTGTTCCTGAACTGGATTGCTTTCATTTCTTTGCGTTTCTGTGACTGGACTGAAGGCAGAGGGTTTTGTGTTCCAGATTGCATAGTTCCTCTTCTTTTGAGCAGGGCTCTGACCTAGAAATAAAATATCTATGGAAACATTGAAATAATTCACCAAGGAAACACTCTCCTCTAAAACACATAATAGCTGCCTTCAGGAAAATTGTAGGTTGTGTGCTTGTGCTTGCATGTGATGTGTGTGGATGAACTTGTACAGTATGTATGTGTGTGTGTGTGAGTGAGTGAGTGAGTGAGTGAGTGAGTGAGTGAGTGAGTGCTCAGAATAATAATCATGCAACTGTAGAGATTTACACCAATCGGATGTATCTGCTGATGATACACTGTTTATAAGCCACGATTGTCAGAATGTGCTTGCAGTTGTAGATCTTATGTGATCTGTTTCTTAAAAAGGGAACTAAAGCACCAAAACAAAAATATCATAAAAGTGGTCAATATGACTCTTTTATGACCAAACAGACCAAAATTTAAGCCATTATTCACTGAAAATCTTCATGAGAGTTCATGAAAGAATTAGGAATCTCAAACAGAGAAGAACAGCTTTCAGAGCTGTAAATCAGAAGCTTTCCTTGACCCCTTCCCCTCTCAGATATTGTGGACATTAAGCCAGCCAATATGGAGGACCTGACGGAGGTGATAACAGCTGCAGAGTTCCACCCACAGCACTGCCACCTGTTTGTATACAGCAGCAGTAAAGGCACGCTACGCCTCTGTGACATGAGAGAGTCAGCACTCTGTGACAAGCACTCCAAAAGTAAAGAATACGCTTCTTAAGCACATAGACTGCATTACTTGTCATTCTGTTCAAAAGTCTGGGTCCAGTAAGATTTTATTTTATTTTATTTTTTGAAAGAAATAAATGCTTTTATACAGCAAGGATGCATTTACCTGATCAAAAGTTGGAGTAAAGACATATACTCTTCTATTTCAAATAAATGCTTACCTTTTAGTTGTCAAAAGAATCTTGGAAAAATAATACATCACAGAGTGCACAAAAATATTAACTGTTTTCAACATTGATAATAATAAGAAATGTTTCTTGAGCACCAAATCAGCATATTAGAATTATTTCTGAAGGATCATGTGACATTTTTAAAATAGAAAAAAATTGAATTAAAATAAAATAGAAACATTATTTTTAATTGTAATAATATTTCACAATATTACTGTTTACTGAGTTTTCTGAGATTTCTTGTAGTGTATATACCATTTTAAGATTACTTGCACACTATTACAGTTAACATGAAATCAAAATATATGCTTCTTTTTGTCATTTAATAATTAGAAAAGAAGACAATGCCTCGTGACAGATGAATCTCATATAACAATTCCCAAACCTTTCTATTCTTTATGCCCCTAAAATCTTTCCTTTCAGAAATTCTTCACTTAGCCAGGACCTGTTGGAAGTAGCTTAGTTAAAAAAAGACAGCGGGAAACACTGAAAGCAATTAAGAAGAACAGCTGTGCTAGTTGCTGGGGAAATTCACGCAGATGTAGTGAGATTTAGACTTATAGCTGAATTAAAAGATAAGCAGACCACTGTTTTAAAGATGTTTCATTGCTGTCATTAAGTGTAAAACCACTGAAACCGTTCACCAGCAGCCTCTGACAGACACAAAATACCTGGTGATTGATTGCTAAAGTATTAAAAAGTTGAGCTAAATGGTATGGAGGCTCATCGTGCTGATAAAAGCTGCCCCATCCTAACTACTTCAAGTGACTCTGAACTCAAGTGAGTTTGAATCTGTTTCTTCTCTTCACCTCAGTCTTTGAGGAGCCAGAGGACCCAGGCAATCGATCTTTCTTCTCTGAGATCATCTCGTCGGTTTCTGATGTTAAGTTTAGCCATAGCGGACGTTATCTGCTCACCAGAGACTACTTGACTGTCAAAGTATGGGACCTCAACATGGAGAAGGGCCCAGTGGAGACCTACCAGGTGGGTAACATGCAGGTCTTGGTACATGTCACCATAAACACATGATATTTCAGCTCATATAGTAGGTTAAACTATTTCTGGTTTATGAGGATTTTTTTTTTCACATGCAAGACACTTCTTACATTTCTATTCTAGTAAATAAGTTCATCCTAAATGGTCCTCTACTGTTGTGGGAAAGTTAGTGTTATTTATGTACTATTATAGTATTTTATACAGACGCATCTTTCTATATTATAGTATAGTAGTAAAATTTTGATATTTTCATTTTTAAGTTTAAATTGTAGTATTTTTGTTATGTGCTTTTGTCATTTTTATTTATTATTTTTAATATTTGTATTTAGCTTTTATTTCGTTCGGTTTTAGTTTTAGTAATTGTATCACTTTAACTTAAACTTGTTTTAATTCTGTCAGTTGCCAATGCAATATTTCTAAGTTTTTCATAAAATATTTATATTTTATTTAGTTTTAGCTTTATTTCGAAGAACAAAAATTAATTTAATGATTTTTAGTTTTAGTTAATAACAATGCTAATTGATTCCATTCCAATGAACAATTTATGTAAATCAACAGATTTAATAATCAATTGACTGATTTGATTCGCTGTGCTCCATTTTCGGTCTTGTTTATATTTATAGTGGAATATTCTGCTGTTCATCTCTGTCTTCAACTCTGTTATATAAATTAGAGTACATTCTTGTTTTTAGTTGTACTGTATTTATTATAAATTTGTTTTTGTCTGATGTTCTCACCATCAACAGTTTCAAAGTAGTTCCCCAACACTTACCATCCCAGAAATGATTTTGCAATGCATTTTAGAATTAAACATGATAGAATTTTAGAATGACTTTAAATATATATGAACATTTCCTTGTGTGTCAGGTTCATGAGTACCTAAGAAGCAAACTCTGCTCTTTGTATGAAAACGACTGCATCTTTGACAAGTTTGAGTGCGTCTGGAACAGCACAGACAGGTAACCATTTCTGAGGCTTTGAATAATCATATTTTGATGCAATATAGGCTTATTTCCTGGTTTGTACTCATACCCTCTTTTTCTCTCTTCCTACTCTCTCGTATTTCCATTATGGTCTTTATCCTATTGATTTGCTCATTTGTTCCCCATCCAAACTCTTGTTTACTCCGCATACCCGTTCTGTTTTATACCCATCATGCTTTGCTGTCTCTTACCTCACCGTTCCCCCTCCAAGTGTAATCATGACAGGAGCGTATAACAGTTTTTTCCGGATGTTCGATCGCGAGACCGGTCGCGGTGTTACCCTCGAGTCATGGCGTGAGAGCAGTAAACCGCGGGCCGTGCTGCGGACTCGCCGCATTTACACCGGGGGCCGGCGTCGGCGGGGTGACGTGGGTGTGGACAGTCTGGACTTCACTAAAAAGATTCTGCACATGGCTTGGCACCCGGCTGAAAATATCATCGCCATTGCAGCCACTAACAACCTCTATATCTTTCAGGACAGGGTCAACGCAGAAAACCTGTGACAAACCTGTGTAATGCTCTTCACAGGGCCACACACAAACCAACATGCACATATATCAAAATTATACTTTAAAACACAGAATTTTGGTCCTGTGGAGATGGACGTAGTTGCCAGACCCCGAAAGTAAACAGATGGACTTTGCAGTTAAACCGTTCCAGGAGAGCAGTTATGTATAGCCAATGACTTTATCTGATAACTGTTGGTTAATTACACCGCCAAGAATGTTGCCGATGAGCTACGGTACGTGGAATTTACGATCGACATCACAGTTAGCCAATCCCGGACTGCGCTGATATGTGATGGATGGTGTTGTCGGCCAATCCCTGACTGCTGATTGACAGCTAATTTGGGCTGAAGACCAGGAATGAGACCGCTCCACTCCTCTGTGCCAGGTTGCCATGGAGACAGGTTACTCAGTTGTCATGGTAACAAGAGTGCTCTGAGCAGTCTTCCTATCATGTGCTTCCCAAAAACTATCCCACAATGCATCTGCTATTCGAGCACTCATTTTACTTCACATCAGAACATGGATGCCTATACGACCCAATCACTATATCTCGCACTTGGAGGTTTTTAAATTCCAGTACTTGTCTCATGCATCCTAACGGAAGGATTGATCCACTACTTCATCAGACCACTGTCTTAACCTGGTTACACCTCATGATGGGTTACATTTACACCTGCATGGTAAGAAAGAAAAAAAAGGACGAGGGTATATCACACCACTAACACGCTTTCAAAAAAGCCTCCTGCCGATTTGTGCACAGTAACTGACATGCGTTAGGGTCAAACTCTGATCTAGTCTCTGGTTACAGATTTATGGGCTCTCACAGTGAAGCACTGCCTTTTTATTTATGATTGTAGCTACTCTACTGGTCCCTCAAAAGGAAATTTAAACAGCCATGTTGGAAATACAGATGAAAATAGTGACACAGGCTACAAAACAGTGCAGAAAGACATGAAAAATCAGTTTGTTAATTTAAAGAATATTCCGGTAAATGCTTTACCACAAACACCAATTTTGACACGTTACTCTGTTTGTTTTGTTAAAAAAAAAAAAAGTAGAGTAATGTACTTTCAGTGGAAGTCTGTGGGGCATTCTGAAGGGTTTGAAAGCAAAATGTGCAGCTTGTATTTTTGTTGAAATGCTTATATGAGTGGTTCCCAACCTTTTTGACTCCAGAGCCTCTCATTGTCCACAAAAATATCTGAAGACATCATTATTTTTCCAGTTGTTTGTGATTTACTGGGTTAGGATTTTATAAATATTTTTTACTCACAATTTATACCCAATAAAATATTTCAGAGCTTGGCATGATTAGAAAATAATGTACATTCAACATAATGTATATCAGAGTTTTAAGATTGGATTAACATTACATTTGCAGGTCTAGGAATCACACTTTTAAAATTAGGCTTCCTCATATATGCAGGTTTTACAAAAACTGTAGGAATGCTGGTTCTTTAAAAAGAGAAAAAAAACAATTGAATCAGTTTATTTTAAAGGGGTGGTTGATTATGATTTCACTTTTTTAACTTTAGTTAGTGTGTAATGTTTCTGTTAGAACATTAAAAGACGGAGGTAATAACAGCTGCAGAGTTCCACCCACAGCACTGCCACCTGTTTGTATACAGCAGCAGTAAAGGCACGCTACGCCTCTGTGACATGAGAGAGTCAGCACTCTGTGACAAGCACTCCAAAAGTAAAGAATACGCTTCTTAAGCACATAGACTGCATTACTTGTCATTCTGTTCAAAAGTCTGGGTCCAGTAAGATTTTATTTTATTTTATTTTTTGAAAGAAATAAATGCTTTTATACAGCAAGGATGCATTTACCTGATCAAAAGTTGGAGTAAAGACATATACTCTTCTATTTCAAATAAATGCTTACCTTTTAGTTGTCAAAAGAATCTTGGAAAAATAATACATCACAGAGTGCACAAAAATATTAACTGTTTTCAACATTGATAATAATAAGAAATGTTTCTTGAGCACCAAATCAGCATATTAGAATTATTTCTGAAGGATCATGTGACATTTTTAAAATAGAAAAAAATTGAATTAAAATAAAATAGAAACATTATTTTTAATTGTAATAATATTTCACAATATTACTGTTTACTGAGTTTTCTGAGATTTCTTGTAGTGTATATACCATTTTAAGATTACTTGCACACTATTACAGTTAACATGAAATCAAAATATATGCTTCTTTTTGTCATTTAATAATTAGAAAAGAAGACAATGCCTCGTGACAGATGAATCTCATATAACAATTCCCAAACCTTTCTATTCTTTATGCCCCTAAAATCTTTCCTTTCAGAAATTCTTCACTTAGCCAGGACCTGTTGGAAGTAGCTTAGTTAAAAAAAGACAGCGGGAAACACTGAAAGCAATTAAGAAGAACAGCTGTGCTAGTTGCTGGGGAAATTCACGCAGATGTAGTGAGATTTAGACTTATAGCTGAATTAAAAGATAAGCAGACCACTGTTTTAAAGATGTTTCATTGCTGTCATTAAGTGTAAAACCACTGAAACCGTTCACCAGCAGCCTCTGACAGACACAAAATACCTGGTGATTGATTGCTAAAGTATTAAAAAGTTGAGCTAAATGGTATGGAGGCTCATCGTGCTGATAAAAGCTGCCCCATCCTAACTACTTCAAGTGACTCTGAACTCAAGTGAGTTTGAATCTGTTTCTTCTCTTCACCTCAGTCTTTGAGGAGCCAGAGGACCCAGGCAATCGATCTTTCTTCTCTGAGATCATCTCGTCGGTTTCTGATGTTAAGTTTAGCCATAGCGGACGTTATCTGCTCACCAGAGACTACTTGACTGTCAAAGTATGGGACCTCAACATGGAGAAGGGCCCAGTGGAGACCTACCAGGTGGGTAACATGCAGGTCTTGGTACATGTCACCATAAACACATGATATTTCAGCTCATATAGTAGGTTAAACTATTTCTGGTTTATGAGGATTTTTTTTTTCACATGCAAGACACTTCTTACATTTCTATTCTAGTAAATAAGTTCATCCTAAATGGTCCTCTACTGTTGTGGGAAAGTTAGTGTTATTTATGTACTATTATAGTATTTTATACAGACGCATCTTTCTATATTATAGTATAGTAGTAAAATTTTGATATTTTCATTTTTAAGTTTAAATTGTAGTATTTTTGTTATGTGCTTTTGTCATTTTTATTTATTATTTTTAATATTTGTATTTAGCTTTTATTTCGTTCGGTTTTAGTTTTAGTAATTGTATCACTTTAACTTAAACTTGTTTTAATTCTGTCAGTTGCCAATGCAATATTTCTAAGTTTTTCATAAAATATTTATATTTTATTTAGTTTTAGCTTTATTTCGAAGAACAAAAATTAATTTAATGATTTTTAGTTTTAGTTAATAACAATGCTAATTGATTCCATTCCAATGAACAATTTATGTAAATCAACAGATTTAATAATCAATTGACTGATTTGATTCGCTGTGCTCCATTTTCGGTCTTGTTTATATTTATAGTGGAATATTCTGCTGTTCATCTCTGTCTTCAACTCTGTTATATAAATTAGAGTACATTCTTGTTTTTAGTTGTACTGTATTTATTATAAATTTGTTTTTGTCTGATGTTCTCACCATCAACAGTTTCAAAGTAGTTCCCCAACACTTACCATCCCAGAAATGATTTTGCAATGCATTTTAGAATTAAACATGATAGAATTTTAGAATGACTTTAAATATATATGAACATTTCCTTGTGTGTCAGGTTCATGAGTACCTAAGAAGCAAACTCTGCTCTTTATATGAAAACGACTGCATCTTTGACAAGTTTGAGTGCGTCTGGAACAGCACAGACAGGTAACCATTTCTGAGGCTTTGAATAATCATATTTTGATGCAATATAGGCTTATTTCCTGGTTTGTACTCATACCCTCTTTTTCTCTCTTCCTACTCTCTCGTATTTCCATTATGGTCTTTATCCTATTGATTTGCTCATTTGTTCCCCATCCAAACTCTTGTTTACTCCGCATACCCGTTCTGTTTTATACCCATCATGCTTTGCTGTCTCTTACCTCACCGTTCCCCCTCCAAGTGTAATCATGACAGGAGCGTATAACAGTTTTTTCCGGATGTTCGATCGCGAGACCGGTCGCGGTGTTACCCTCGAGTCATGGCGTGAGAGCAGTAAACCGCGGGCCGTGCTGCGGACTCGCCGCATTTACACCGGGGGCCGGCGTCGGCGGGGTGACGTGGGTGTGGACAGTCTGGACTTCACTAAAAAGATTCTGCACATGGCTTGGCACCCGGCTGAAAATATCATCGCCATTGCAGCCACTAACAACCTCTATATCTTTCAGGACAGGGTCAACGCAGAAAACCTGTGACAAACCTGTGTAATGCTCTTCACAGGGCCACACACAAACCAACATGCACATATATCAAAATTATACTTTAAAACACAGAATTTTGGTCCTGTGGAGATGGACGTAGTTGCCAGACCCCGAAAGTAAACAGATGGACTTTGCAGTTAAACCGTTCCAGGAGAGCAGTTATGTATAGCCAATGACTTTATCTGATAACTGTTGGTTAATTACACCGCCAAGAATGTTGCCGATGAGCTACGGTACGTGGAATTTACGATCGACATCACAGTTAGCCAATCCCGGACTGCGCTGATATGTGATGGATGGTGTTGTCGGCCAATCCCTGACTGCTGATTGACAGCTAATTTGGGCTGAAGACCAGGAATGAGACCGCTCCACTCCTCTGTGCCAGGTTGCCATGGAGACAGGTTACTCAGTTGTCATGGTAACAAGAGTGCTCTGAGCAGTCTTCCTATCATGTGCTTCCCAAAAACTATCCCACAATGCATCTGCTATTCGAGCACTCATTTTACTTCACATCAGAACATGGATGCCTATACGACCCAATCACTATATCTCGCACTTGGAGGTTTTTAAATTCCAGTACTTGTCTCATGCATCCTAACGGAAGGATTGATCCACTACTTCATCAGACCACTGTCTTAACCTGGTTACACCTCATGATGGGTTACATTTACACCTGCATGGTAAGAAAGAAAAAAAAGGACGAGGGTATATCACACCACTAACACGCTTTCAAAAAAGCCTCCTGCCGATTTGTGCACAGTAACTGACATGCGTTAGGGTCAAACTCTGATCTAGTCTCTGGTTACAGATTTATGGGCTCTCACAGTGAAGCACTGCCTTTTTATTTATGATTGTAGCTACTCTACTGGTCCCTCAAAAGGAAATTTAAACAGCCATGTTGGAAATACAGATGAAAATAGTGACACAGGCTACAAAACAGTGCAGAAAGACATGAAAAATCAGTTTGTTAATTTAAAGAATATTCCGGTAAATGCTTTACCACAAACACCAATTTTGACACGTTACTCTGTTTGTTTTGTTAAAAAAAAAAAAAGTAGAGTAATGTACTTTCAGTGGAAGTCTGTGGGGCATTCTGAAGGGTTTGAAAGCAAAATGTGCAGCTTGTATTTTTGTTGAAATGCTTATATGAGTGGTTCCCAACCTTTTTGACTCCAGAGCCTCTCATTGTCCACAAAAATATCTGAAGACATCATTATTTTTCCAGTTGTTTGTGATTTACTGGGTTAGGATTTTATAAATATTTTTTACTCACAATTTATACCCAATAAAATATTTCAGAGCTTGGCATGATTAGAAAATAATGTACATTCAACATAATGTATATCAGAGTTTTAAGATTGGATTAACATTACATTTGCAGGTCTAGGAATCACACTTTTAAAATTAGGCTTCCTCATATATGCAGGTTTTACAAAAACTGTAGGAATGCTGGTTCTTTAAAAAGAGAAAAAAAAACAATTGAATCAGTTTATTTTAAAGGGGTGGTTGATTATGATTTCACTTTTTTAACTTTAGTTAGTGTGTAATGTTTCTGTTAGAACATTAAAAAAAATGTCTGCAAAGTTCGACACTCAAAGTTCAATGCAAATTGAGATTTTTTTTTTTAGCGCTAAGGACTACAAAAAAAGCTGGTAGGGACTACAACGAGCTTCTTCCCGGGTTTGTGACATCACTAACCCCAGTTTTTACATAAACCCTGCCCCCCGGGATCATGCAACTACCGTAATGGTAAAGTGGCGTGACGTTTCCAGACAACGTGCACTAGGCAGTTAGCGAATCACAACATACTGGACCTGCTAACCAATCTGAGCCCAATTGTGTATTTCTTAGGGAGGGGCTACACAGAACCAGGAACTCAACAGACTGTTTTGACGAGAACAGAAACAGCGGTGTAGAATAAAGGTAAAATATGTGAAAATAATGCATTTTTAAAAAAAAACAAAGCATGAAAACATGTTACGTTGCACCCCATAAACACAATCAAGCCTTCGAAAAAAGCTGATCAACCAACCTTTAAAATTAGGATTCCTCGTGTATGCAGGTTTTACAAAAATCGTAGGAATGCTGGTTCTTTAAAGAGAGAGAGAGAGAAAAAAACAGTTGAATCAGTTTATTTTAATGCTTGTTTTGTCTAATTTTAAGTCATCTTTGTTGAGGCCCCCTAGCGGGCCCCATTCCCTGGCTTATATTTAATTCTTCTGTCCAGAGATTATATGTCAGCTACAAAGTTGTCAAAATCCTTCTTTTAGTTGTGGGACACTGGTCTAGACTAATGAACCTTTGGTTATGCATTACTAATGTAATTCCAGTCCCTTTTTTTATTCGTTTTATTTTAATATCTAGAATATTGATGTTTTGAGGCTATACTTTCAAATGGTATTTAATTTTTATTCCCCCTATTTTGCTTACTCCTTGCTCCCTGGACTTCCATTATAAGTGCATTAACATAGTTGAGGACGTGTCAAAATTGCGTTTTGTGGCAACATGCCAACTAGCTTATCTTTGAAAAAAATATCTAAAATAGCTTATCTTGTATTGAATTTGGAACGTTCCAATATGTAGCATCTAGTAAGTGGATAAACCATGTGTAAATGTGAATCTCTGCACACTGTGTTTTCTATGACCACACAGGTGTACATGTAACTCTCTATCCACTGTAGAAAGAACACTGCGAGTTATCTTTCGTTTAAGGTGCCATTCACCTTCTAGGTGACTGTTTGTTTGGTGTAGATGTGGTAATGAATTGTTGGGTGTCTGTGTAGACTATGACACGGAGGTCAGTGACTGTTTTTGCTATATGAACAAGGCTGAATGAATGTAACATTCTTTTAATGAATCCTTTTTTAAAGTGTTATGATGTTAACGGGGTGCTCTCAAACTGACGAGCGAGCTTGCTTGCTTGCTTTCTCATTTTCTTTGACTTCGTCCCTTTTCTGTCTTTTCTGGTGTTCACGTGTTTGTCTGTCCCATTTTTCTAGTACTCTTTGCTCTACATATACTGAGGCTGTGCCTCTTACAATCAGTCCCTCTACTCTTATTTTTACATTTGTAGTTCATTCACATCATTTTTGTACCCTGAGACAATGATTCTTCGCTTTTTTCACTCTGTTCCTCTTTCTATTGCACACTTTCATTCTCTTTCATCCTGTTACCATGGCGATAGGCCTTCTGCCATTATGCATTCTCTCATGCTTTCCTCTCAGTCATGCAGTGAAACACACTCACATTCACAATGCAACCAGGGAATAATAGCTTAAGTTTGTTCAGGGCACACACACTCTCTCTCTCTCTCACACACACACACACACACACACAAATAGGCCTATACATACAAGCATACACACAAAAACGCATGTTTTTCATTATCCAGTGTTACTAATGTGTATATCTATGATGCCTAAACATATTCTATTGACACTTAATGGAAAAATAAAAGAGGCAAATGGATGAATGTGATTAAAAATTAATATGACATCTGTACTTACTGTATATTATACAGTTTTTTTTCATAGTGCTGTTTCTCAGTCTCTCTGTCTGCTTCTGGGTATTTAACACACACACACACACACACACACCTGATATGCTTATAGTGAGCTAACTGCATACTATGCAGCATCAGACCTTAGAAGGACAATAACTGTGAATCTTAAAGGCACTTTAATTAATTTTTACATTTTCACAAAAATAAAAACTTAATTCCAAAGATAATGTAAACAGGTTTTACATCCACTTGTCATAGAACCTTTAAGGAAAACATCTGTGTGGAGATGGTTTTTCTATTTAACAAAGAGTGACATCATCAGAGTGCGACAAAGTGTGAGCTGGCTGTATGAGTGTATGCAGATGTTTATCAGTGACTCAAAGACTCAAATGTTATTTAAAAGACAAAAAAGAAAAAAAAAGTTATTTGAATTAACAAATAATATATAAGGCTCATGTTCACAGAAACACTTCATTTGATAAATACTCTAAATACTAGACAAGTGTTCCATGCATTCTTATTCATGACACACAAACACACACACACACACACACACACAAATAGGCCTATACATACAAGCATACACACAAAAACGCATGTTTTTCATTATCCAGTGTTACTAATGTGTATATCTATGATGCCTAAACATATTCTATTGACACTTAATGGAAAAATAAAAGAGGCAAATGGATGAATGTGATTAAATTAATATGACATCTGTACTTACTGTATATTATACAGTTTTTTTTTCATAGTGCTGTTTCTCAGTCTCTCTGTCTGCTTCTGGGTATTTAACACACACACACACACACACACACCTGATATGCTTATAGTGAGCTAACTGCATACTATGCAGCATCAGACCTTAGAAGGACAATAACTGTGAATCTTAAAGGCACTTTAATTAATTTTTACATTTTCACAAAAATAAAAACTTAATTCCAAAGATAATGTAAACAGGTTTTACATCCACTTGTCATAGAACCTTTAAGGAAAACATCTGTGTGGAGATGGTTTTTCTATTTAACAAAGAGTGACATCATCAGAGTGCGACAAAGTGTGAGCTGGCTGTATGAGTGTATGCAGATGTTTATCAGTGACTCAAAGACTCAAATGTTATTTAAAAGACAAAAAAGAAAAAAAAAGTTATTTGAATTAACAAATAATATATAAGGCTCATGTTCACAGAAACACTTCATTTGATAAATACTCTAAATACTAGACAAGTGTTCCATGCATTCTTATTCATGACACACAAACACACACACACACACACACACAAAAATGAAACAAAATCATACAAAAAATGTGAATAAAGATCCATTGCTCATTAAGATTGTAATCATAAATGAGTTGTAAATGTCAGGCTGAATTTCTGAAGGTCAGAAACATTGGTTCTTAGATCGAATCTGGTTTGCAAATCTGCTTTTTAAACATTTTTGTATGTAAACGTGCATTAGAAATCTTTGACCATTGTGTCATATTTCGCTGCTTTTTTTGCATATGTTCTGCAATTTAATAGAATGCTATGAATGCAGAGAATGATAATTTCAGCAAAACTTGCTAAAAAAAAAACATGGTTAATCTGTGGAATGAGGGCAGTTAAAAAAAACACTCAATGGATAACTTAAATTATTAATTTGTAACACTTGTAAATGATTACTAAATTTAATTTTGGGTGAACAATTTTTTTAGACAGATTACATTAACTTTTATCATTTTATAATAGAACTGTCATGAAACTTACACACTACCAGTCAAAGGTGTAGAATAATTGTTTTTATGCTGTTAAAAAAGCATTTACCAAAGCTGGATTTATTTGATCAAAAACACAGTAAAACAGTAATATTGTGGAATATTAATCAAATTTAAAATAACCGTTTTCTATTTAAGACATAATTTATTCCTGTGAAGCTAACTTTTCAGCAGCCATTACTCCAGTCTTCAGTGTCACATGATAATATTTGACCTGAAGGATCATGTGACAGTAATTCAGATATTGCAAATTGTAGTAATATTTTACAATATAACTGCTTTTACTGTATTTTTAATCAAACAAAAGCAGCCTAGGTGAGCATAAGAGAGTTAAAAAAAAACATTTAAAAACCATGTTCTAAACTTTAGACTGGTGGTGAAGTATCAAAGAATTAACAATTTTATAATAGCTACGGAATAGAATCAAGCTAATATATGAAAAAAATGATCAAATATATATTCCATCATTTTCCCAATGCCACAACAATAACATGATCTCTAACATATCAGAAGAATTAATTAATTTTTTTTTTTTAAATGTTTCCTGAAAATTGTGTTTGGAGTTTGACAGCTCTTTTAAATTCTTCTGACGTTGAAAAAACTTCAAACATTTTGACTGTGATTCAGATTTCTGTATGTCATCTTTTCTTCTACTTCTTTACACACTGATCCTAGCACAGAGAAAGGGAGCAAAGAAGAAGTCAAATGCAAATTTAATGGCTTTAAGCATGGTCTTCCTCCAGTTCCGTTCAATCTTGACCTGTCGTCCCTCAGGCACCAATGATGAGCTGCAGTCCAGACAGTGTATGGCTTTCAGTTCAAATGCAGGTAGTTTGGTACCCAACTTCCCTTCCAGCTTTGTACTGAACTCTACCATGCTGCCTGGATCGAGGTTCAGCAACACCTGTTTAAACTCGTAACTCGCCATTAGGAGGATGTCACCTGCCGGATCGTCAACTTGTGTGACTCCATCCACCGGCATGCCGACCGTCACCTCAAAGCGGTAACTGTCAAAGCGTTTAACGTGGCACTGGTGTTTCGCAAAGGCCTTTATCCGACAGAGCTCCTCCTCTCCCTGCTGGAGGAACAGCATTGTGGCATTGACAGGCTCGACTCCCGTGACATTCGCAACTGGAGACATATTATTCTGTGGTTCACACTTGGGATAAACCTCACCATAGAGACACCGCAACCAGTCTCCCATAAACACCGGTAGCAAGTTTATAACAGACTGAGCTCCGTTTTCCATCTCAGCTACACGAATACGACGGAATATTCCGGTCCAAGTGACACGATGACCCTCCAGATGGCTGCAGAAGAGCTGTGTTTGAGCCATCCCGCGATCCTGCCAAGCACGTGGGCCGCACAGTGTACCATATTCCTGCCAGGTGATTGTGGAGTTATACACCTTCAGACCTTCAGCATTATAGACATAGACGCCGCAGAGTAAAATCACCGTAGTGATGCACAGGAGGATCAATTTCACCGGACCTCTGTGGGTGATGGAACGGAAGACATTTAGGATGGACAGGCTGAATCGAGTCCAAAGCCGCAGGATCACAGGGACGGCACACACTGCCAGCGTCACCAGCATTTTAGTCAACTCCAACTCCAGGAACCACTTAACCATCTGAATCAGCAGCATCACCATCAGACCCAAAGCCAAAACGGGTAAGGCAAACAGGAAGAGGAAGTAGGCCACACAAGTGCGGATAAGGCCAATGGTGGTAGAGTTCCACAGCAGGACCACAGAGAACTCGCACCACACAAAGCAGACCAGGTACGGCACCAGGAAGCAGTACGTCCCTCTGAATCCCCTCATGCGTGCCATACTGTACATTATTTAAAAAAGAGGTCTGATTAGGTATGGTCATTATATTCAAACACCAGTATCAATAATACTGTATATTATACTAACTTGATTATTTACTTGAGGAAACTGTTACTTGCCCTATTGGGTTAGCGCTATATCTTATTTTATTTTATTTATTTTGATAATGTAAATAAATTTTTATGCCTTACAAACTGGTTTTCTGTGACACTGGTTGTGATATTGGTTTCTACTAGGTAAAATGATCTAGCTGGCTAGCATAGATGAATAGCCATATCGAAAACTGCGAGAATTAATTGTCATATCCTTGATAGCATAAGGATGATTTAAAAATTGCTAACCAATTAGCAATGTTTCGTCATTATGTCTTTATTTTCCAGAAAAAGTGTTTCCTTTTTTATTTAAAGGAAAATTTATTTCCTTTGTAATTTTTGGGCAATTTTTCTTTGTACAGAAAACGAAACATTTAATGAAAAAATGTGTGTTTGAAATGTATAATCATAAATAATATTTGTAATAATTTTCCGATATTATTGCAAGTTTTCTTTGTGAACGAAATTGACATTTCATGAAAAAAAAAACATTTACGTGTGAAAAATGCATAAATATTGAATAATTAGACATTAAAATTGTTCATGTAAATATACAATTATAAATGTAAACGAATACAATTTTTGGCCATTTTTTTGGCATTTGTTTACAGGAAATGTAATATTTGATAAAAAAATATATAATCATATATAATATTTTTAATAATTTTCAGCTATTATTGCAAGTTTTCTTTGTGAATATATATATAATAACATAACCCTGGTCCAATCCAGTGGATTGGATGTACATTGCCTTAAATAGGTACAGTAAAAACGTTCTTTTACCTGAAGAACAAGTAGAAAAGGTAGATGTAGAGCACACAGGGTACACTGAGCTCTAGCACCAGTGATTCTCCTAGAGGGATGGTTGTGAAAATATGTCCCAGCATCCTGGCCATCGCCATTTCCTTCGGCAACCTGCTGGTCAAGGCACACAAAGATGAAGCCACCTCGATGATGAGTGCCCTTCGTGCGTAAGCTGCCGCAGATGGGCTCAGGCTCATGTAGCTCATTGCCGTGAAGAAGATGGCCACTGTGGAAAGCTCCGAGCATGGGATCCAGCCTTTATCTGCTACTGGGAAGGTGAAGATCGTAAAGAACACTGATATCATGAAGTAGAGGTACTGCTCCATGTTGTTCCAGCCAAAGTTGGACTCCGCTTGCTCCACGTCCAGGCTGGGCTCGAAGCGTGTGAGGAGGGCGGTTAAGGCACTGAAGTTCTCCCATCCTTTGCTGCTCTTGAAGACTCTCAGTGTGCAGATGGCCATGGAGATAAAGGAGAGGTAGAAGATGAGGAGCGGGATGACGAAGGCAAACAGATCAATGGTGAGATTGGAGATGATGAAGAAGAAGATAAGGGCATTGACGTGTTGCGTTGGGATGATGGTGCTCAGCCACTGGACACCAGCACGAGATGCCCAGTCAATTAAAAGTTCCTTCATCTCAATAATCACATGGAGAGGGTACTGCAGACCCTACAGGGTAAGGAAAGACAATGAGTCAACATTTGCATTTTACAAGAGTACTGTCAAACAAAAGTTGGATAAATAGCTTCATCACTTTTATACATAATTTTTGTCAATTTGTTTTTCACCAAGAAGTGGGATTTTATGTCCAGGGCTCTCTTCATCGCACCACTGCGTCTGGTAGTCAATATCATCCCACTACCCGACATTCCCCAGCTGGACTTTCGATGACGCTTATGAGTGACGGGGGCCAATTCATTTTTTTCCTGTATGAAAAAAGCAGCATTTTTTGATGTATTAGCAAGTATAAAGCTGGTTTTATCAACTTACATTACGGTCTCATTGGTGGACATTTAAGTTAAGGGGAAAGTTCACCCAAAATTAAAATTCTGACATAATTTACTCAACCTCATGTCATTCCAAACAAAACACAAAATATATATTTTAAAAAATGTCTCAGTGATTTGTATTTCCTTACAGTGAAAGTCACTGGCATCCAGTTTTGCTTTGGATCTCACTGAGTTTCATTATAGACAAAAAACTGTTTTCCACAAAAGACAGAACGTCACACAGGTACAACATGAAGGTGAGGAACTGATAAGAGAATTTTCATTTTTCAGCACATCCTTTAAGCGCCTTTCTCATAGACAAATAAATGACGATAGCTTATATATTCATCAAACACCTCCCATTTTAATTGATGTTTTGAAAATTTGCTGCTATGTGAAAACATCTGCACTTATCTCTATCTTCTTCCATAGCACCTCACCATTTCAAATGTGGCTACATCACTTTTACTTAACGTCTTCTCCTCTCCCGTTGCATCTACGCCTGAGGTTCTCAGTGTGGGAGCGTACGCTATGCCTTCTGTGAACTTTTTCGTCATCTCCACAAAATCTTCCACATCCACATACTTAGAGCTAGCTGTAGAAGGACAAAGATGCATATTTGTGATAAGTTATGAGTATCTCTGTCTAATATTTTGAAAATTATACCTCAGGTTGGTTTACCAACCATTCAGTTCCTTTACCAACCATCCTTTACTGTTCTCAAAAAAAGATTCAATTTATTGCATTTGTGTACACACAAATATGTACACTTACATTCATTAGACACCATGGTCTCCAGGATTTTCCTCTGAGTATGAATGCTGGGTGTTACACCACATACAGCAGGTTCACCTATTAGGAAGAATGGATTAAAATAAGTTACTACTAGCAAGACATGTTAAAAAATGTATTTCTTAATCACAATCAGGTGTTTGTTTAACAATATAAGCATCCCAAAACTCAAAATTTGGTCAAAAATGCCACCCGTTTCAGATTTAAGGTATGCAAGGATGGAAAATGCTGTTGAAAAGAAAGAAAGAAAGAAAGAAATCTGCCAATTACCTGGTATAGTATTGACCTGGCTGACATTCTCCAGCATCTCAGACATGGCCTCTGACTGTGAGAGTATGTGTGAGAATATGTACACGTAGGGGCAATTGAGTTATATTGAGACTGGGCTCATCTGCCAGAAAGCTGAAAATAGACACACTCATCATGGCCATGCCAAAAAGGACACACTTTAAGGCAGACAGAAACACGACAGAATTGAATTTGTATCGGAAAATACACTGTAGATCGTTTAAAATCCGATAGCTACATTATAAACACTTGTGTTCATTATATAGGTCAATGGAGAATAGCGTCACACAGCGCCAATACCATCACAATCAGTTATGGTTTAAGTTCTGAAATCACAGCACACATGTTCAATCAAAGGTCATTAAGGAAAGGACCCCAATTGCAGAATAGGATTTAGTCCATCATTAAGTCATGAGATATAATTTCTTTGCTTGTTATCAGTTTATCAGGTACACCGCATATTTTTTCAGAATAAATTTTATGACCAGTTTCACATTGTCATATTATTTCATAATATGACAATATTCGTAATTTTAATATTATTTCAAACACGTGTGTTCATGTACTCACTCTACTCTGTGCTCTAGGGTCTCCAGCCTCAGCTTTCTCCAGGAGCTCCTCAAAAGGCAGATCTTCATCCATATCATCTACGAGAGATAACAGTCACTCACTTATGATTATGTGAACACTGTGGTGACACAATATTGAACTTGAAGTCTTAATGAATCCACAAATCCTCTAAATAATTCAACTATGCTCATCTTTGCAAAAAAATTTGTAAATCCTGCTAGTTAGATCGTAATTAATGCTGAATAAAGTTCCAGAACAATCCAAGAATTACTATTTTTAATAAAAAAACATTTTTGAATGGAAACAGGAGCTTGAGTATGATTTTACTGAACATAGTTTTCTTTGCTTGTTATCAGTTTATCAGGTACACCGCATATTTTTTCAGAATAAATTTTATGACCAGTTTCACATTGTCATATTATTTCATAATATGACAATATTCGTAATTTTAATATTATTTCAAACACGTGTGTTCATGTACTCACTCTACTCTGTGCTCTAGGGTCTCCAGCCTCAGCTTTCTCCAGGAGCTCCTCAAAAGGCAGATCTTCATCCATATCATCTACGAGAGATAACAGTCACTCACTTATGATTATGTGAACACTGTGGTGACACAATATTGAACTTGAAGTCTTAATGAATCCAGGCTGAAACCAAGCCACAAAAGCAAAACCAGGCCATGAGTAAATAAATGTACCCCTCAGATATTCAAGTGAGAGGTGGATCTATTTCTTGAACACTGACATCCTAATAAAGCGCATTGGTTTGTGATAAAAATAGGATTTATGTTCTTGGTGAAAATAAAGCTAGCACACACTAGCATGTGTCAGTAGCCCCGCCATGTCTCACTGATTACCCTCATTTGGATGGATTGCTTTAGTGTCATTCATAATGAATGCATATCAAGAAACTACAATTAATATGGTACTATCAAAAAATATCAAACATAATAAGCCTGTTTGATTTTTGACAAGGTAAATATCTGAAATAATTTCAAAGAGTTAAATACAACAAAGAAATCTGAAATTGGATCATACAAAAACTTTTTTTTTTTTAGCAGATTGTCCTTCAGCTTTCTTTGTTATGCAAAGCTTCACTTACCACATTCTTCAGCCTTGGTCTCTTCCTCAGCCTTTCTTATTTTCTCCTGCATCATCACCTTTTGGGCTGCAGCCAAAAAGCTCCGTTGACGTGGGATTGATAAACCCACTGCAGGTATTTTGGTGGAGGGCAGTGAACCTTCAGGAGTAGATGTAGATTGTGTAGGATCAGCAGAAATGGTGATGCTGGGTGTGGATGGATCATTGGGAGAAGATAATGTTGATTTTGATAATGATGATGATGTTGTAGCTGGCATAGTTGGAGTAGTTTTAGAGATATGTGATGATGTAGGGGCAGGTTTCGGTGTTGCTGGTTTTTCAGCTGTTGATCTGGCTGGAAGGTTTGAGGTTTTAACATTAGTTTGTTTTAATTTAGTATCTTGACTTGAAGAAGGGGTGGATTTAGGTGGTTGGTCTGGGCTGCCAGAACTGGAGAGGGGGGGACCCGCCATCTCAGTGCCTGGAATGGATTTAGTTGATGGAAAAGGAGGGTTGAGACTTTTGTGGGCTGCACTTTTCTCCTTGAGAGTCTCAGGAGATGGTGGTGGGTTAGCACTAACATCCTTCTCACCTAAAAGACAACAAACAAAGTGCAAAGACATAATGTTTACAAAGAGCACCAGTATTTTTTTTTTTCACTTACTCATTTCTTACATATTTATGTGTTCTTACACAATTGGTTAACCTACCAACTTCATAACATGCTTTTGACATCTAAACTCCACTACATACACCACACAAATGTATACAGTGTATATCAGCTTACAAAGAATAACTTAATCACTTACATATTTAATTAGCCTGTATAAATAACCAAATTCATCACATGGTTTTCACATGTTAACTGTATTTTTATATACATTTTGATAACCTACTATATACCAAATAAATGCGTGTACACAATATTATGTTTTGACAGACCTTAGAGAATAACTGCTGAAATTAAAGGTAGTTTTAGTACTCAAAATAAAAGAAAAGAGAATCGAAACAACTTACTCATTTAAGCTGATCAGCTTACAAAGAATAACTTAATCACTTACATATTTAATTAGCCTGTATAAATAACCAAATTCATCACATGGTTTTCACATGTTAACTGTATTTTTATATACATTTTGATAACCTACTATATACCAAATGAATGCGTGTACACAATATTATGTTTTGACAGACCTTAGAGAATAACTGTGCTGAAATTAAAGGTAGTTTTAGTACTCAAAATAAAATAAAAGAGAATCGAAACAACTTACTCATTTAAGCTGAATGAACAGTCTTCCTCAATATATGGCGTAACACAACGAAAATAAACTCTTTTAAAAGTTTTCTGTGCTGTCCACACATAACAGCTCTGTGAAACCAGAGCCCCACTAAGGAATCGCTGTTGTTAAAGCCCACCATACCTCCAGAGAACGAGCTTCGATTGGATAATTCAAGTGCCAATCAAAGAGTTCCTCTCTGATTGGATAGGACTCGAGCAATCAGTGAATGGCATTGCCCAAAGGATTGTCATCATCGCACTTAATTAGTCTTACTGTGGCGAAAGACTAGCGGGTAAGCTTAGAATAGCGTAAAATAATAATTGTGACCCTTTTTTATCTTGAAAAATTCATGAAGGAGGTTCAGTGAATGAACGTCGGTTAGACCTATGGGCAGCCACTAGATGTCAACGAAGTAATAATAATATCTTTTTGCTCGCACAGTGGTGTATGCCATTTCACAGAAGAAGCAGATTGTAGTGTTGTTGCGGGACGCTCTTGCAGCTCCAAATGTTCATTACACCCCGTGCTATTTGTGAAACAACGATGAAAAAGGAGGAGACACTAGGGACCAAGGCTAGACTGAACAGTGGTTGGGGGTTTTGATTTGATTAATCTCAACTCGAATCTTTTGAATCTATTCTGTTTACTAAACATCCGATCACTGATTTCTGCCGTTAAGAACCATTAACACCTACTACGTCCATCCCAACAGAATGATAATTTTCTGTTTATTATAAACGCGATGTTATGTTGTTTGCCGGTTTAAATGCTCGAGCTCTTTAAAGTTGATGGATTCTGATTGGCTGTCCATTTTTGACGTGAACATCAGCTGTAAAAATCGTTCTGAAAGTGATTCCAGTGACTTCCCCTCATAGAATTTGAAGAATTAGGCTATATTCTATAAGCTATTTATATTTGTCGTTATATCGGTTTTAGTGCAATCGGGCATTTACGCCAATAGGTGGCGACAAGTGTGTTTTTGTTATGAAGAAGTCATTCATTCACTCAACCTATTCGTTAAAAACAGTTGTACATGCTGAAAAGTGTGACTCCAGAAAGAGTGCTTTAAGTAGCTACATCCCACAAAATTAAAAATATATGTATTTGTTTGTTTGTTTGTCTAACTGTGAGACAGTAGGCCTACTTAAGGTATAGAAAAAGGTTGATAAAAAGAAAACAATCATAGCTTAGCTAAATAACATAGTAGCTGGTGCCCTGGTCCATTCACTTCGTTCAAGAAGGAGAATATTCGTATTCATTTCGTTCATGAATATCATTCTGTTCTTTCACATACGCGATGAATGGCCTATTCAAAACATCATTAAAAAATTATTCCAAAGCTGTCACGTGGTGAAATGGGAGAGACTTCACTTCAGTGAAAACATAAGTCAAAAATATATAGGCTATATAGGCTAGTGCGTGTAAATAAACAATTTCATTTGAAAGATACGTTCACGACTCGAAACACCACTAGAGCTCTCCAAAGTTCCATGCGTTTACCCAGACTGGTAGTTTTATGCAAGTCAGTGCAGCTGACTGCAGTGTTTTTGCGCATCTGCACGCACTTTCGGATGGAGGATGGCAGTCACTGCATTGCCCAAATCTTCAGTTCGACAAAAAAAAAAACAGAAAAAACCCCATTGATATAGGTCTAAATTAAAATGTTCAGAGAGAACTGGATCTGAGGATGCAATTTTATTCGGACTAGCTCATTAAAAAAACGCGTTATTATAGGCTATCAGACTGTCTTGGAAGTGGTAGATCGCAGCATCATTATCAGTCTGCAAGCTGCGACCTCCGCATCCCCAGGCAAACCAAGGCTGGCCTGGTTTTCTGCACTGGCATCTCGCTTCATCATTGTATTAGAGCATCATCTCCCTCCTATGAGTGATGTCGGACTGTAGGCGACAGTGGAACCGGGAGGATGAGCTCCCTGTGTACCTGGCTAAACCCATCTCGGCCGGACCCAACCAGCGTCACAAGTCTCACGGAATGTTTAGCTCCGTCGAGGGCGCGTATGATAGCAAGACTATCGATTTTGACCAGTACGCCGTAGGGAGGAAGGGGAACAGGAGCTCACGGAGCAGTAGCAGGGAGCGCATCGTGGATGGGGACTTTGGAGCTTATGAGATCAGCGGGGGGACCATCAGCTCCCCGGGTGAGAGAGACGACGGGCGTCCGGGTGTCGAAATCACGGATCAGACTGAAAAGGAATGTCGTTATGAGCAAAACAACGGGAAGGTGGGCTTAAATATCATGCGTGACCATTTTCGGAGGATTTGAACCTTAACCCATGCAAGTAGGCTACACAAGGTTCAAATTTGCTCATAAAAGAATAACAACATGCGTAACAATGAACGCATAGCCTAAGTAGGCTATAGGTACCTAGCCTATGTTCTGACATAAATTGCGAAAGTAAACCTTAGTTAACTGTTACCATACTTAATATGATTTAAAAAAAGAAACAACATTTACAATCAAATGCTGGAATTTTATCAGGCCTACAATAAGAAAACAAACAAATAAAATAGCCTATTTTAGCCTAGCTATTATGCGAAAGTAAAACCTTATACTTGGAAAAACATACTAAGATATAAAATCCAATAGCCTACTGTAATTTTACTATAAGAAAACAAAAACAAAAAACTTCAAAATTGAGTTTGAATTAGTCTGCCTTATAGGCTAGCCTACAGAAGAAATATATGCTTATTTTGTATTTCAGTGTAAAATATTGTTAATGCTACCATAAGTAAAAAAGATTAAATTTATGGGGCGTTTCCAGAATTTCCTATGCAAACCATTTTTTTTAAGTTGCATTTTCTATTTAGTAAATGTCGGTCGCATTATTTTACTGTCACGTTTGTCACTTTGAAGATTTTTGCCCAGTTTTATTGGAACGATATTTTAAGGTTAGCATGCTTGCTCAACATTCTTTTACTTGATAGCCTAACTCAACATTCTAGTAAGGTCGATTTGTAACATTCCAATTGCAATGCAAAAATATCTTTCCTTGTAGAACGTTATTTTTGAACTAGCCTATTCATAATTACAAATAATAATAAATTTAGAAACGTATTTGACTCGTTTTTAATTCATGAATTAACCTTATTATTCAATATATTTTAAAACAAAAACTATTTTACGAAACTATTAGTAGACCATTTTTGACCCATAACGCCGACATTCTTTTTACCGATTCTCGCCCAGTTCTCTCTCTTTGTTTCATGTGAGGAGGGCTCTCCAAAATACACTCAAATACAAAAAAACACGTCTTCGAACAGGCGAACAGATACACGCTCACATACACACGCATACACTCAAACACACACGCACCCCTCGGGAGAGGCGCTCGCTTGTGCAGTGTAGTGATGGGAAGTCCGGTTCTTTTCCGCGAACCGGTTCTTTCGGACAGTTCGTTTCAATAAACCGGTTCAAAAAACCGGTTCATCTGTTATTTTACGCCCTAACGTACTGACGTCATTCGCGATGACGTAATGATATCAAATCTGTCCTCCTGGGCCGGGATGACCTAACAGAATCTTCAACTGAACAAAGTACACAGATTAGATACATTCGTAAATTCCAGCATATAACACAGATTTGAGCTACTTTACATTGGCTTCCAATTCACTACAGGGTTGATTTTAAATTACTTATTTTAGTATATAAAGTCTTACATAATCTGGCTCGCTCTTATTTAATTGATCTTTTGCATTTACATAAACCTCAAAGGAATCTAAGGTCATCAAACCAGATCCCTAGGACAAGATTAAAACTGAGTGGTGACCGGGCATTTTCAGTGTTGGCCCCAAAGCGTTGAAATAGCTTGCCTTTACCTATATTTACCCAATATAGACTTTTACCTATATTGGGTTCTTTTAAAAGAAATTTGAAATTGTATTTATTAGAGTTAGCCTTTGGCTCAACATATCGAGTAAACAAAGTGGGTCTCCTTCTTTGCTATGATGTTTGTTTTACTTGCTTATTTATTTATTACTCTCTTTTTCCTTCTGTGCTGTTGGTCTCCTTTTTACTAGTTACTATTGTACAGCACATTGGTCAACCTTACATTGTTTTAATTGTGCTCTATAAATAAATAAAACAAACAAACAAACAAACATTCATCTTTTTTTTTAAAGTAAAATAAAACATATTATATTTAAAATATTTAAAAATAAAAATGATATTATCACACTTTCTGATGTTTAACAAAATACTTGGGTAACATGCTTTTCGTCCTCTTGAAAAATTACACGCTTGCGCAGTATCATCAGCTCATCGGTTCTCAAATCGGACGCGTCCTAAAGAAACGGTTCTCGGTTGAGTGTACCGGTGATCCGAAAACCGATGCAACCGGTTCTTGACTCGAAAACGAGAACCGCTCCAGCAGTGGGAATGTACGTTCGTTATCCGGCTCGCTGCACACTTGCTGCTTTTCATCATCAGCTCTCTCTTCACAGCAGTTCAGTCAGTGTACTGTTTGAGTAAATGAATTACTCCGGGATACTGGTTTATTTCGACTCACAGGGAGTGTCAGCCAGGTTAAAAAAAGTGAATAACTTAAGTAATTTGTGGATTAATGCTTACTGGAGACGCGAACCGTTTCAAACGATTCAGTCCGATTGGGTGAACTGGTTCAACCGGTTCACTAAGAAGAACCGGTTAAATCGAACGATTCGTTCGCGAACCGGACATCACTAACCCACAGTGCTCCCATTCTCCCTCTTGTTCGCTGTCGTCGTTA